ATTTTTTTAACATGTACAAAGCTGCTGGATACCCATTTTTAATTGGGTTATGTTCTTGAGTTGTGTAAGACTTTGTATATTACTTACAACTCTCAGTGGTGAATCAACAAGGAAAAAAAAAAAAAAAAGACTGGCAAATATTTTTCCCAGCCTGTGGCTTCTCTATTTTTTTTTTTTTTTTAAAGCTGTCTTTTGGCCCAGTGTGGTGGCTCGTATCTGTAATCCCAGCACTTTGGGAGGCTGAGGCTGGAGGGTTGCTTAAACCCAAGATTTCAAGACTGGCCTAGGCAACATAGCAGGACCCCACCTCTACAAAAAATACAAAAATTAGCCACACATGGTGGTATGCACCTGTGGTCCCAGCTACTCGGGAAGCTGAGGCTGGGGCTGGAGAATTGCTTGAGGCTGCAGTGAGCCATGATCATGCCACTGCACTCCAGCCTGAGTAATGGGGCAAAGCCTCATCTCAAAAAGAATGAAAAAAAAAAGTTGTCTTTTTAAAGTTCAAAAGTTTTTCATTGTGACAAGTTCCAACTGATTTTTTTTTTTTTCTCTAACAACTCTTTGCCTAACCCAAGATGACAGAGATGTTCTCCTACAGCTGCTTCTGAAAGTTTGCTGGCTTCAGCTATTATGTTTAGGACTGTGATCCGTTCTGAGTTACTTTATGAGGATATGAAGAAGGGTCTCAAGTCACTTCTTCCACAGATATCTAATTGTCCCAACACCATCTGTTAGACTCTCCTTTTCCCAGTTGAAATGTCTTGGCATTTTTGTTGCAAAATCAGATGGCCATGTATACAAAGATTTATTCTAAACTCTGGTCTGTTGTTCTTCATACCCTTCCTTACACTACTGTCACACTTGATTTTTGAGACAGAGTTTTGCTCTTGTCGCCCAGGCTGGAGTCCAGTGGCACAATCTCAGCTCACTGCAACCTCCACTTCCTGGGTTCAAGCGATTCTTCTGCTTCAGCCTCCCGAGTAGCTGGGAATACAGGCGTGGGCCACCATGCCCGGCTAATATTTGTATTTTTAGTAGAGACGGGGTTTCACCGTGTTGGCTAGGCTGGTCTCGAACTCCTGACCTCAGGTGATCCACCCACCTTGGCCTCCCAAAGTACTGGGATTACATGTGTGAGCCACCACGTTCGGCCCCTGCTGGGATCTTAATAGGAACTGCATGGGATCTATGGGCCCATTTGGGGAGACAGAAATCGTGACAGGAGTCTCCTACCCAATGAATGTGCGTTGTCTTTCCATTTTTCTCAGCAAGTATCTTGTATTTTCAGTGTATAAATCTTCCGTTTCCTTCACCAAGGTGGTTCCTAAGTGTGTGCTCTAGTTTCAATGCTAGTGACTGGAATCTGAGTTTTGTTTGGATTGTTCATAGTCTATAGAAAGGTGATGAATCTGTTAACTCTGGATCCCGAGGCCCAGCTGAACTTCCTTGTTCCAGTTGTGTGTGTCCCGTAGGCCTTGCTATGTAGAGAACCCTTGTGCTATGAATAGACACTTTTACTTTTTCCAATGTGTGTTTTGTTTTTTGTTTTTAGCATCTTATTAAATGCCTCGTTCTGCCTTTAGAGGGAACCACTGTCACCCACCATGAACTACGCCACCAGCTTGGGAGGCAGAACAGTGCTCACCGCGAAGATGGCCACATTCTAACCCCTGGGCCCTGGGATGACGTGAGGCCACACCACCCAGAGGAGGTGCCAATTTCAGGTCAGTTCCCTAAAATGGAGTAGCGTGGGTTTTCCAGGTGAACCTAGGGAATCGTATGGTCCTTAAAAGCAGAGGAGGAGTTGCCTTGAGGCATGGAGGACTCGGCCTGCTGTTGCTGGCTTTGAAGGTGGCAGGAAGGGCCACGAGCCAAGAGTGCCTCTTGAAAGGATGGGGGTATAGAACCTCTCCCAGAGCCTCTGCGGGGAACGCAGCCCTGCCCACGCTTTCCTCTTAGTCCTGTGAGACCCGTGTCAGACTACCGACCTCCAAACCGCAAGATACACTCGTGTTTTGGTTCCTGGGTATGTTTTTTTTTTTTTTTTGAGATGGAGTATTGCTCTGTCACCCAGGCTGGAAGTGCAGTGGCACGATCTCAGGTCACTGCAACCTCTACCTCCTGGGTTCAGGCAATTCTCTGGTCTCAGCCTCCCAAGGAGCTGGGACTACAGGCATGCGCCACCACACCCAGCTAATTTTTGTATTTTTAGTAGACACGGGGTTTCGCCATGTTGGCCAGGCTGGTCTTGAACTTCTGACCTCAAGTGATTCACCCTCCTCAGCCTCCTACAGTGTTGGGATGACAGGTGTGAGCCACCACACCTGGCCTAAACTTGTGTTGTTTTAAATCACTGAGGTGGTGGTGACCTATCCCGGCAGCAATTGGAACCTAATGCAGACAGCCTTTTCTAGCTGGGGATGTCCCCTTCTCTTCCCGGGTTGTGAGATTCTTTATCAGGAACAGGAGTGGGACTTTTGTACTGTGCTTTTCTGCATTGATTGAGATGGATCTCATGGGTGCATATTTTTTTTTTTTTTTTTTGGAAACAGGCTCTGGCTCCGTCTCCCAGGCTAGAGTGCAGTGGCTCGATCTCAGCTCACTGAACTTGCGCCTCCTGGGCTTTAATGATCCTCTGGTTTCAGCTTTGTGAGTAGCTGAGACCGTAAGCATGTGCTCCCATGCCTGGCTACTTTTTGGTTTCTTTCTGGTTTATTTTGGTAGAGAAAGGGTTTCGCTATATTGCCCAGGCTAGTCTTGACCTCCTGGGCTCAAGCAATCTGCCCACCTCAGCCTCCCAAAGTACTGGGATTACAGGCATCTGTTTTTCTATTAATGAGGCTTACGACCTTAAGTGCTTTGTAGATGTTGCAGAACCTCACTTTGCTGTGACAAACCACGTGGTCATGGTGTGTGATGCTGCCGAGTTTGGGTTGCTAATATTTTGTTAAGGATCTTTACATCTGTGTTCATGACGGACATTGTTCTGTGGGGTGGGGGTGGGGATCATGACGCCTTTTGCCGCCTTTAGCCCCTAGACTCGGGGCGTGTCTCGTCCTCCACATTGTGAAGATTGTGAGTGGTTGTGTTACTGACAATTCACAGTGGCAGCCCTGTGGGCACAGGCTTCCTGTAGGAAAACTTAGGACTTCTCAGTACTATAATTTCTTGTTTTAGGTCTATTCAGATTTTCTGTTCCTGAGTCAATTTAAGTGATTTGTGTCCCTCTGGGACTTTGTCAGCTTCACCTAGTTGGTTTTCCTAGTATTCCAAGGCCTGCTCATTTCTGTAAGATTGGTGATGATGTCCCCTCTTTCATGCTTCTGGTAGTCAGTCTAGCTAAGAGTTTGCCAATTTTGTTGATCTTTTCAAGGAACTTTTGGTTTTTCTGCTTTCTAGTTTACTCATTTCCTCTCTAATCTTTCTTTAGGTTTCATTTGTTCTTCTTTCTAGCTGAAAGTAGAATTCTACTTTTTTTCTTTTTTGAGACCAAGTCTCACTGTCACTCAGGTTGGAGTGCAATGGCATGATCTTGGCTCATTGCAACCTCTGCCTCCCATGTTCAAGCAATTCTCCTGCCTCAGCCTCCCCAGTAGCTGGGATTACAGGCGCCTGCCACCACGCCCAGCTAATTGTATTTTTAGTAGAGATGGGGTTTCTCCATGTTGGCCAGGCTGGTCTCAAACTTCCGACCTCAGGTGATCCACCCACCTCGGCTTCCCAAAGTGCTGGGATTACAGGCATGAGCCACTGAGCCTGGCCAAAGCCAACTTTTTTTTTTTAAAAGACAGAGTCTTGCTCTGTCACCCAGGCTGGAGTGCAGTGGTGCGATCTCAGCTCACTGCAAGCTCCACCTCCCAGGTTCACACCATTCTCCCACCTCAGCCTCTGAGTAGCTGGGACAACAGGCACATGCCGCCATGCCCAGCTAATTTCTATGTTAGCCAGGATGGTCTCGATCTCCTGACTTCATGATCCATCCGCCTCAGCCTCCCAAAATGCTGTGATTACAGGCATGAGCCACCACGTCCGGCCAAACGTTTTTTATTTGAGACCCCCTTTTATTACATAGGTGGTTAAAGCTATAAATTTCCCTCTAAGCACTGTCAACTCCCACAACTACTGCCTGCCCCACCACCCCTACCATTCAGACATCAGGGCCAGGCACCATGGCTCACACCTGTGATCCCAGCACTTTGGGAGGCAGAGGCGGGTGGATCACCTGAGGTCAGGAGTTCAAGACCAGCCTGGCCAACATGGCAAAACCCCATCTCTACTAAAAATGCAAAAATTTAGCTGCGCATGATGGTGGCACCTGTAATCCTAGCTACTCAGGAGGCTGAGGCAAGAGAATCACTTGAGCCCAGGAGGCAGAGGCTGCAGTGAGCTGAGACTATGCCATGGCACTCCAGCCTGGGCAACAGAGATCCTGTCTCAACAAAATAAAAGATCAGATGTCAGGCATTTGTTGCATCCACAGAGGGCTGTTAAAATTACTTATTGGTTTACAAATGAGCACAGTGTTATAGAATGGAAGCATTTAAGGTTCTGGCCTAAGAATATTTGTTGACAAACAGAACAAACTCTTTGAACTGGGGTAGGGTTAGTGGGAGAAGAAAGCAGGAGAAGGAATCTGTGTCCTGTCTCCTCACACACACCTGGCTTCGGCGGCATCCCAGAGGGGTCTGTGAGTCTGAGAACAGATCAGTGACCCCTCCGGGGGGGATGGGCAATGCATGTGGTCTGGAAGTACAGTGCCAGCCTTCCTCTTCAATCCACAAGCCTCGGGCCAGGCTTGCTCCTAGGTCCCCAGGGCCACTCTGCTTCTCCACTCAGAAGAGCCCATCTACAGGACTAGGTGGCAGAGGGGATGTGGGCCCCACTCCCTTCACAGCTGCACTGACAGGGCAATCGGTCAGTCAGTGAATCAGTCAAACGTTTCAGAACATGCGAGAGGTGGGCGCAGCATTGTGAATGGACTAAATGCCACTCAACTGTGCGATTAATTAATTTCTTTGAGATAGGGTCTCCCTGTCCTCCAAGCCAGAATGCAGTGGCACAAGCAAGGCTCACTGCAGCCTTGGACTCCCGGGCTCAAGCGATCTTCCTGCCTCAGCCTCCTGAGTAGCTACGACTACAGCTACATACCACCCTGCCCAGGTAACTTATTTATTTATTTATTTTGAGACGGAGTCTTGCTCTGTTGCCCAGGCTGGAGTGCAGTGGCGCAATCTCGGCTCACTGCAAGCTCCACCTCCCAGGTTCACGCCGTTCTCCTGCCTCAGCCTCCCGAGTAGCTGAGACTACAGGCGCCCGCCACCACGCCTGGCTAATTTTTTTTTTTTTGTATTTTTAGTAGAGATGCGGTTTTACCATGTTGACCAGGATGGTCTCGATCTCCTGACCTCAGGTGATCCACCCACCTCAGCCTCCCAAAGTGCTGGGATTACAGGCATGGGCTACCACGCCCAGCCCTCATACATTTTTTAAGTTTCAGATTAGCCCTAGGGGTTGCCTCTTCCTGCCCTTCCCTCGTAGACCCTCTGCCGTGAGGCACACGCAGAGCCTGGGCAGGACATGTGGCCACCCACCCAGCTCTCCTGGGGTCACAGGCCGAGCACTCCCCAGCTGGCTGCTTCCCCAGAGGGCGGTTTGTGCTTTCCAAGCAGACACGGGGCTGGGGGTGCTGCCGAGCAGGGCACTGCCTGGAGGTCGCAGGTACTGGCCGCCTCCAGGAAGAAAACACGGCCGCCTCTCCCTGCCAGGGGGCCCTGAGCCCATCAGACGTGCTGGGAGCTCGGGACAGGAGACAGCACAGGCACAGCCACAGCGGCCACTCCAGCTGAGCCAGAGCCCCCAAGCATGGGCAAGAAACTTGGTGAGAAGCCCCCGCCTGCTTCAGGCACAAACACCGAGCCGCCTTCCCCAGCCCAGGACAGCAGCAATGCTGGACAGCCCGTGGCCCCGGTGGGATGGGGTTCTGCTCTCGAAGGGCCCAAGCCCACTCATCCCATGTCATCGCAGATTGTGACAGTGACCTGGGAGCCAGAAAGGTGTCTATTCCTCTGAGGTGGGGTGGTGATGGCAAAGGGAAGGAGGAAGAACCCAGGACACCCCAGGTATCCTCTCTCCTACAAAGCCAGGAAACCCAGGGAGAGAGCACCCCGCCCCCTGGGGTCCTGACCTGAAGCATGGGTGGGGGGACTGCAGTGGCTCATGGGGGAGGAGGAAGAAGGCCCAAGGGGATGAGGGGAGGCCTAACGGCTAGAAGAAAACAGTCTGCAAGTGTAAGTTATGGGAATAAATACTTTTTAAACTTCTCTTATAAATATGCATTAGAACATCCAATAACACAAGCCAAGGGCTGTGAAATTAAGGTTAAATCAAGACTGAATTTCTTGCACGACCAGCAGGAAAGCCAGTTACCTAAAAGAGCCTCATCCTCAAATGCTCTGAAGGTGCAGGGTGGCCTCAGTCCTGGGGCATCTTGACCAAATGCTCTGAAGGTGCAGGGCGGCCTCAGTCCCGGGGCATCTTGAACTCGTCCTTCTCCTTGCGCACAGCCCTCATGGTGGTCACCGGGTCCGTCTCACCCGCGTGCTGCTGCACCGTCTTCTCCCTGCGGAGGCCGGCACCAGGCTGCAGGCTGTGCAGAGCCATGCCCACCGCCCACCTGAGCAGCCAGGGCCACTGCAGAGGAAGGTGACTCGTGCTGGCTGTAGCCCAGCCCTGGGAGGACACAGAGGGCGGGGAGGCGGTAGCCACTCCCCCTGACAGGTTCCGAACTCCAGGGTCCAGAAGGACTCACGCCCCGGCCAAGGCGCCAGGAAAGGCTGGACCCCGCTCAAGAAGAGTGGTGGGGCTCTGCGGCTGCACCTGCTACAGCTCCCCAGGGCAGCCTCAGCCATCTGGGGTCTCAGATGCACCCCACTGTGTGTGTACGAGTGGGACTGCCAGAGGGGAGGGGCCTGCACCCACCACCTGTCCTGGGCCCTCACCTCACTCTCATGAAGGGGTTGTAGGTAAACTCCTCTGCCAGGGTGGATGGCACTGTGGGCTCCCCGATGCTGTACTTCTCCTGCAAGAGAAACACGCCACTTTAATCACAGGAACTTTAAACGATGGCAGACCGGGCATGGGGGCTCACGCCTGTGATCCCAGCACTTTGGGAGGCTAAGGCAGATGGATCACTTGAGCCCTGGAGTTTGAGACCAGCCTGGACAACATGGCGGGACCCTGTGTCTACTAAAAATACAAAAAACTAGCCAGGCATGGTGGCGGGCACCTGTGGTCCCAGCTTCTCGGGGGGCTGAGGTGGGAGGATCCCTTGAGCACAGGTCGAGGCTACAGTGAGCCAAGACTGCTACTGCCCTCCAGCGTGGGTGACAGTGACATCAAGTCTCAAAAAAGATGCTCAGAACACCTGGTAACCTTAGGACACCGCCGGACTGACAAAGGCTGAGAAGGCAAGGTGAGCAGAGGCCAGAGGGTCTGTGCGTGTGGAAGAGGGAAGAGAAGCCAATGTCCGGGATGAGCCGCACATCCACCTTCCCGCGCCGTCCTGGAGAGGACAGGGACAGAGCTTCCTTTTCATTCACGGGGTTTACATTTCATGTTACGGAGATAATAACAATGCAGGAGACACAGAAAAGAAACCACCACAGCTGCACCCTCATAGCAAGCACAGGGAGGAGGAACACGGGAACCCGCAGCAGGGGAGGTCACCCGAGCCCCCACAGGCAGGCAGCTGGTCACCTCCACTCGCGATGGAGATGCTCTCCCTTCTGACAACACTGACCAGGGCAGATGGGTGGAGGCCGGGGGAGGAGAATGCAAACGCAGCCATGGGGCCAACAGCAGGAGAAAACAGGGCAGCAATAGCGGTCTCCACACAGCCCTGGCCCTTCTACCACAGCCGCACGAGGAGGGCCTCAGGGCAGAGCTCTGACAGAAGCTGCTGGCGCCCACGCACAGGCTCAAGACCACCGCGGCCTCACCCCCAAGGGTCCCCAGCTGCTGTGGGCAGTGGTGTCAATGAGTGACCCTTCGGCTGGTGGAGCTGCACTGAGCGGGGGTCTGGCAGATGCCAAGATGGTTTCTCACTAATCCGTTCTTCCCTTCTGGTGAAAACAATCAGAATGTTTTATAATATTCCTTGTGTTCCCACCAACATTCTCAATCCTAAAAAATCTTCCTCTACCTCCTATGAGGGAAGAAAAGTTAACACTTCTAAGGGTATCTTTAAAACAAAGGAAGTACAAATTGTCATAAGCTTTTGGGTTACCTATTAAAACGAGTTTTAATGTTGTAGCTATTTTTCCTACAAAGCATGAAGCATTTAAAGACAAAAATAAGGTCAGTTAGCTGAGCGCGGTGGCTCACACCTGTAATCCTAACGCTTTGGGAGGCCCAGGCGGGTGGATCACCTGAGGTCAGGAGTTCGAGACCAGCCTGGGCAACATGGTGAAACCCCATCTCTACTAAAATACAAAAAATCAGCTGGGTGTGGTGGTGGGCGCCTGTAATCCCAGCTACTCAGAGGCTGAGGCAGGAGGCCGGCTGAACCCAGGAGGTGGAGGCTGTAGTGAGCCGAGACCACACCACTATACTCCAGCCTGGGCAGCAGAGCAAGACGCCGTCTCCCAAATAAGACAGGCCGGGTGCTCAGACCTGTAATCCCAGCACTTTGGGAGGTCAAGGTGGGTGAATCACCTGAGGTCTCAAGTTTGAGACCAGCCTGGCCAACATGGTGAAACCCCATCTCTACTAAAATACAAAAAGAAATCAGCTGGGTGTGGTGATGGGGCGCCTGTAATCCCAGCTACTCAGAAGGCTGAGGCAGGAAAATCGCTTGAACCCAGGAGGTGGAGGCTGTAGTGAGCCGAGACCACGCCACTACTCCCAGCCTGGGCAGCAGAGCAAGACGCCGTCTCCCAAATAAGACAGGCCGGGTGCTCAGACCTGTAATCCCAGCACTTTGGGAGGTCAAGGCAGGTGGATCACCTGAGCTCAAGTTTGAGACCAGCCTGGCCAACATGGTGAAACCTGAGCTCAGAAGTTTGAGACCAGCCTGGCCAACATGGTGAAACCCCGTCTCTACTAAAAATACAAAACCTAGCTGGACATGGTGGCGCATGCTTGTGATCCCAGCTACTCAGGAGGCTGAGGCAGGAGAATTGCTTGAACCCGGGAGGCAGAGGCTGCAGTAATGAGCCGAGATTGTGCCACTGCACTCCAGCCTGGGTGACAGAGAGAGACTCTGCCTCAAAAAATAAATAAATAAAAAATAAGGTCAGTCCTTGCAGCACAGCTCAGAAGAGCTCCACCTCGTGGGTGCGGGACTCCAGGGTCCAAAAGGAGTTGAAAACTCTCAACGTCCCTCCTTTTGGGATTGGTAAAATGATTTATAGGTGACATCCACGCAATAGTATATTTTACACCTATTAAAAAGAATGAGGCTGGGCGCGGTGGCTCATGCCTGTAATCCCAGCACTTTGGGAGACCAAGGCAGCAGGATCACTTGAGCCCAGGAGTTCAAGACCAGCCTAAGCAACATGGTGAAACCCCCTCTCTACCAAAAATGCAAAAATTAACCAGGCATGATGGCACAGGCCTGTAATCCCAGCTACAGGAGGCTGAGGCAGGAGAATCGCCTGAACCCGAGAGGCAGAGGTTGCAGTGAGCCGCGATTGTGCCACTGTACTCCAGCCTGGGCGGCAGAGCAAGACGCTGTCTCTCCCCAACCAATTAAAAAAAAAAAAAATTCACAGGCTAGGCGCAGTGGCTTACGCCTATAATCCCAGCACTTTGGGATGCTGGGGCAGGCAGATCACGTGGTCAGGAGTTTGAGACCATCCTGGCCAACATGGTGAAACCCCGTCTCTACTAAAAATACAAAAATTACCCAGGCGTGGTGGCACACGCCTGTAATTCCAGTTACTTGGGAGGCTGAGGCATGAGAATCGCTTGAACCCAGGAGGCAGAGGTTGCAGTGAGCTGAGATCACACCCCTGCACTCCAGCCTGGGCAATAAGAGCAAAACGCTGTCAAAAAAAAAAAAAAAAAAAGGTACAAATTGTCAAAATCAGGAATGAAAGCAAGAATATCATTCCAGATCCAGCAGATATTTGGCGGGTGGGAATTCATACTGATCTAAATTTTAAAACTATACTAATTCCAAAAACAAAATACAGGAGCAAATTTTTTGACCTTGGGAGAAGCAAAGATTTCTTAGATGGAAGACAAAAAAGAATGACCCATAAAAGAATCTATTAGACTTCATTAAAATTAAAAATGTTTGCTCAAAAGATCCGCTAAGAAAACCAGAGGCTGCAGAATGGGAGCAGCTCAGCAGGAGGCTGCGTCTTACCAGGGACTGGGCTCCAGCACCTCCTTCCAAAAGGCTGGCTCCACTGCCTGCGTGCTGGGAGGACCCGGACCAGCCGGTGCGCCCACGCCTTCCTGGCAGGAAAGCAAACACCACAAGCACCAGGGAAGGGGAGTTTGGCAGTTTCTTTAAAAGTCAAACACACCTCCCGTCCAGCCTGGCCACTCCCTTCTCCTGGGGCTGGGATGTCCGTCCCTCCAAATGCATGCTGACATCTGATCCCCAATTAACGGAGGTGTTTGGATGGGGGTCCCCTGTGAGTGGCTGCCCTGCTCCAAGTGTGAGTTGTTGCTGTTGGTTCCCACAGGAACTGGTGGTTTAAGAGAACCTTGTGCCCCCCCCCCCACTCTCTCCTTCCTCTGGCCACACGCTTCGCACCACCAGCTCCTTTCCCCTTCTGCCATGAGCAGCAGCAGCCTGAGGCCTCGCCAGGTGCAGGCGCCCAGGCCATGCTGCTTATAGCCTGCACAGCCATGAGCCACCTAAACCTCCTTTCATAAGTCACCCAGCCTCAAGTATTCCTTTATAGCAACACCACACAGACTAAGACACCAAGGAAGTTAAAATATGCATCCACTGTGTTTCCAACTAGTATCAACAAATCATCACGACCGGAAGTGCTTAGCGATCACTGAATAACACATGCAAGACCTTGAACACGCAAATTCCAAAACATTGCTGAGAAAAGCTAAAGACCTTAATAAATGGAAAGCTCACAGAAACAATATTAAGATCTCAATTCTCTCCAAATCAGTTATCACAACAGTCCCAATCAAAAGCCAAGCTAGCTTTCTTGGTAGAAGCTCACAAGATGATTCTAAAAACGGAAATGCAAAAGGCTTAAAACAACTAAAACCATTTTGAAAAAGAACATTGGAGAATTTACACTACTGATGTCAAGACAGCATAGAGCTAGAGTCATCAAGATGCTGTACTCGGACACCATGGCAAGTCATACAGACCAACGAAACAGAGCAGAGACCAGAAGCAGACTCGGGCATAGAGGGTCCATTCTCTTTAGAAAGGTGCCAAGGTAATCCAGGGAGGAAAGGACAGTCCTTCGACAGACAGCGCTAAACATGTTGGGATCACACTGCGAGAGGGTGAACCTCTACCCTCACCTCGCAGGACACACAAACACAAACACCATCTTGAAAGGAAACATTGTAAATTGTAAATATAAAAGCTAAGACTTTAAAACTTCTAGGAAGAAACACAGGAGAAAGTCTTTGTGAGCTAGGGGTACGCAAAGATTTCTTAGGGCACAAGAAACAGAAAAGAAAAAATGAGTGGCCGGTGCGGTGGCTCACGCCTGTAATCCCAAGCACTTCGGGAGCCCAAGGCGGGCGGATGACCTGAGGTTGGGAGTTCGAGTTCAGCCTGATCAACATGGAGAAACCCTGTCTCTATTAAAAATACAAAATTGGCCGGGCGCGGTGGCTCAAGCCTGTAATCCCAGCACTTTGGGAGGCCAAGACGGGCGGATCACGAGGTCAGGAGATCGAGACCATCCTGGCTAACACGGTGAAACCCCGTCTCTACTAAAAAGTACAAAAAACTAGCCGGGCGAGGTGGCGGCGCCTGTAGTCCCAGCTACTTGGGAGGCTGAGGCAGGAGAATGGCATGAACCCAGGAGGCGCAGCTTGCAGTGAGCTGAGATCCGGCCACTGCACTCCAGCCTGGGTGACAGAGCGAGACTCCGTCTCAGAAAAAAAAAAAAAATACAAAATTAGCTGGGCGTGGTGTTGAGTGCCTGTAATCCCAGCTACCGAGAAGGCTCAGCCAGGAGAATCACTTGAACCCGGGAGGTAGATGTTGTGGTGAGCTGAGATCACACCACTACACTCCAGCCTGGGCAACAAGAGTGAAACTCCGTCTCAAGAAAGAAAGAAAAGAAAGAAATGAATAAATTGAACTTCACCAAAACTATAAACTATTTTCCAAAAAAAAATGTTAAGAAAATGAAAAGGCAAGCCATGAGCTGGGAGAGAAAAACATCTTTTAAATATGTATCTTCCAGATGATATAAGGAACTCTTACAAGAGCAACCCAACAGGCCAAACCCAATATTTAAAATAGACATAAGATTGAACATAAACTTAAAAAGGCATCCAAAGGCCAACACACACATGAAAAGATGGTCAACCCCATTCGTCATGGGTAAATATACATCTTAAAAGCAGTGAGACACCACCACATGCTAGTTAGAATGGCAGAAATTAAAGAGACCAGCGACCCAATGCAGTGCTGGCACAGTGTGGAGCCCTGGAACTCACACACTGGTGGTGGACTGCAGAGCGGTACAACCATTTGGGAAAATGGTTCATACAGTTAACCACACAACACAGCAATTCCACTCTTAGGGAGGTACCCAAGAGCAATAAAAACATATCCACAAAAAGATGTGTACACAAATGTTCATAGCAGCTTTATTCAAATAGCAAAAAACTGGAAACAGACGAATGGATAAAACAATGATGGCATTTCCACACGATGGGCTACTCAGAGGCAAAGAGCATGGCTGACCCTCACCAATATCAGCGGGGCCGAGAATGCCACAGAGACGACAGAACAATGTGCTTCTGTTCATGGGAACCTCTAGAAAGTGACCCGAGGTCACAGCACAGTAACAGCTGGCGGGGACGCCACAGGAGCCTTTGGGGTAAAGCTCCACATCTGGACTGCGGAGGGGATTACACAGGTGCACACACATCAACATTCCTCAAACTACAACCTGCCCACTCCAAAGAGACACACGGGCCAGGCGCAGTAGCTCACGCCTGTAATCCCAACGCTTTGGGAGGCTGAGGCAGGCAGATCACCTGAAGTCAGGAGTTCAACACCAGCCTGGCCAACATGGCAAAACCCCATCTCTACTAAAAATAGAAAACTTGGCTGGGCGTGTTGGCGGCACCCGTAATCTCAGCTACTCGAGGCTGAGGCAGGGAGCCTTTTTTTTGAGACAGTGTCTCGCTCTGTCGCCAGGCTGGAGTGCAGTGGCATGATCTCTGCTCACTGCCACCTCTGCCTCCTGGGTTCAAGCGATTCTCCTGCCTCAGCCTCCCAAGTAGCTGGGACCACAGGCACACGCCACCATGTCCAGCTAATTTTTTGTATTTTTAGTAGAGATGCGGTTTCACCATGTTGGCCAGGATGGTCTCGATCTCCTGACCTTGTGATCCGCCCGCCTCGGCCTCCCAAGGTGCTGGGATTACAGGCGTGAGCCACCGCGCCCGGCCAGCAGGGAGAATTTATTGAACCCAGGAGGTGGAGGTTGCAGTGAGCCGAGATTATGCCACTGCACTCCAGCCTGGGCAACAGAAGGATACTCCATCACAAAAAAAAAAAAAAAAAAAAAAAAGATGAATATTTTATGATTCCTCTGATTTAGAGTTTGAATTTTTATGAGTAAATATTTTAAAATAACATAAACCTCTAAATTGAAAAAGATGCTCAACAAAAAAACAAGTGATTTATTTAAAACAATAAACCTGTTGAAGGCAGCGACTCTCCACTCAGCAGAGGGAAGCGTGCTGAGAGGCCAGGTGTGTGTGCTTCCAACAGCGTTTCCAGTGAAGTCGGGGAAACACTCCCGGAGAGCCCCTCCTGCTCCTGCAGTCCTGGCCCAGCCGGCCTGGGTTACGCCGTGGAGGCATCAGGCGGGGCCATCACAGAGATAAGAGTCCTTTGGACACAGAGCCACGTTCTGTGGCCTGGAAAGCCAGCAGAGCCACAGGTGCCAGCCTGACCCTACTGCTCAGAATATGGGTACAGGCCGGGCACGTGTTAGACATGTAGCGTCTGAGGCAGAGGGATCTCAACAGAACCCTGGGTTGGCCGTGCAGGGCGAGCTGGGCCACACTGGCCTGAGTCCCAGGCCTGCTCTCTGGGCTCGGAGGGGTGGCTGTCTACCCATTCTGGCGACCCCGCCGTGCACAGTAGCCCTGAGCAGCCCACAGGAAAGCACTGCACAGTGACGGCCCCACTCACCTTGGCCCAGGCCAGCTTCTCCTGGATGGCGGCATTGCCGGGCTCCACGTGGCGCGCAAACTTGAGGTTGTTGATGGTGTACTCGTGGCCACAGTAGACTCTCTGAGGAGACAGGCGACAGTTGAGCTCAGAAGGCTGTTACCACCCGTGGAAGTCCTCGGGGTGGGACCTGGACGCTCCCGGGGGGGTGTCCAGTGAGTGGGTGCCAGAAGGGAGAGCAGGCCCGCCCTGGGTGAGGCCCTCCAAACCACGGCCCACAGGGAGGCGCTGCCTACTGTGTCTGGGGGCAGCCGGCCCAAGACCTCCAGCAGAGCTTTACACATCTCATCCGCAGTCCCTTCATAGAACTTCCCGCAGCCAGCCACGAACAAGGTGTCACCTGGAAACAAGGACAGCCATGAGGTGTGGGCCACTGGAGGCTGGTGGCTGGGACTTCGGAGGGGGCCAGAAGCAGGGTGACACTCACCAGCAAGGCCCAGGCCCCAAACCCTGGCTGCCCTCCAGCCCCGGCTGCCCAGACTCCGCACCCTGCATTCTGGCTCCCACAACTCCTTCCAAGCCTCAGCTGACAGTGCCGACCACGCGACTGGCTGTGCAGACCCGAAACCCAGTCACTCCTCCCTCCCAGCCCCCAGTCCCACCAACTGTGGCTCTGAGACCCTCACAAACCCAGCCCTGTCCCCGAACACCCAGCAGCCCCTCTCAGGCCCGTGCCTGGCTCCCGTCTTCCCTTGGCCCCAGCAGCCAGCGCCACCCCGTGACCAAGGTCTCACCACCCTGGCTGAGGTGACCGGAACCACCTCTCACCCACGGCGGGGGATGCGGCCCGAGTGTGGCTCTGGGCCACCAGGAGGCCTCCCGGTTGTGCAAAGCCCACACCGAGTCACCGGGTGAAACCCCGCACTGTGAGGCCAGTCGGGACCGGATGACAGTAACAAGCATGGGAGGCAGCCCCCGCCCCCAGCAGCCTCCACACCGCCTTGAAGGTCGCAGCCATGAAGGGCCCGGCTTACAGTGGGGCCATCCCCTGGCCATATGACCTTCAGAGGTGCCTCCACGGGTCTGCAACAACCCTGGGAGGCAGGCAGGGCCCCTAGACTGGCTCAGGTCCCCGAGTCCACACTACGGCATCGAGAACACGGCCCCAGGGCTGAGCCACCTCTCGCCCTGCCAGAAGAAAGTGACTCCTTTCCTGTGGGATCCGCCAGGACCCCCGCTGTCCAGCAGTCTCCGCCAGCACAGCCCTTGCTGCAGGCGTAACTTCCTTCCAGACCACGATCCAAACCCATTGGAGGAAGAAACAGCCAGCCCCGCCACGAGGCTCCCAGCACCCACCCCTGGGTCCTCACAGCGGCGCAGGACAAGGCCATGAAGCTGCCCCCATGAGCCTGCCTAGCAGGAGACACAGGGTCTTCACAAAGAACCACCGCCCCACACACTCGAACACGCACCTGTGAACACAGCAGGAGGCTCCGAGCCACCGGGCTTGCTCACGAAGTAACAGATGTGTCCTGAAGTGTGGCATGGTGTCGCCAGGCACTTGACATTGAGAGACCCCACCTTAAACAAAGCAAGCAACTGCGTGTGCTCCCAGACACCCTGGAGAGCGTCGCCCGGGGTCACGGCGCGCAGCCTGGGCCCTACGGGGCCTCCTCAGCTCCGAGGGAAATGCCTGTGAAGGTTGGGCGGGTGCTCCCCGCCACGGGACTGGGGGACTCACTCCATGGGCGCGCCCCAAGTGCGGGGCCACCCTGCAACGAGAGCGCTTGCATGTAAAACACCAAGGGGCTGTTCTCTCCTTCAAAACTGGGCCAAATCCACGCTCGGCATCTGGCTAGGAAAGACGGCTTTCCTTCCCACACGTGGCCTTTTGTTTTCCTCTGTCCCCATCGGCCCCAATTCTTTACTTCAAAAATGTTCACACCTTCAAAAAGGCTGAAGACCCCCTCACAGCGGCCTCCTGCCTGTGTGCTGCGCTCTCGAACCGGGACCCCGCCCACGTGGCCCACGCCCCAGGGTCTCGGAGCCCTGCTTCACAGCCCCGCACACGGCCGTGATTTGCACACTCCTGTCCCTGTGCCTAGACAGAGAAGACCGTCCATGCTACCGCAGAGGAACACTGGGAGCACTCCCGGGTCACCGGGTTAGGGGGCAGAGAGGACGCAGGGAGGCCCCCACTGCTCCTGGCAGGGCCACGCTGGAGCACCTCCAGGGCTCACTCCTTACCTGCAGTGTGGACAAGTGAGTGATTTTGTGCGTCAGGGCCCCGATACGGTCATCACCCCCGTACACCTTCAGTCCCGACTGCAGCTTGACCAGTTTCTCATTCCCGCCAGCATGGTCCCTGGAAGTCAAATGGGAGACCTGGGCTGCCTGCTGAGCTGAGGGGGCTGCCTGCTGCTTTTAAACCCTGGTCAAACGGGATGCTTATTTTACACACACAAAGGAAGCCGAGGAAGCAAATCACAGACACCTGGATGATCCTGTGGCCTGGGTTCCGAGCGTGGGGGCCTGGGATTATCACCTGGACATCTTTACAAAGCACCACCTGGTTCCCACCCCCACGTCCTGGTGCAGTGGGTCTGGGGATCGCCTGGGGGTGGGGTTTTTTAGTTTTGAAAGCCCCCAGCTGATCCTGATGTGCTGCCCAGTTTGTGACCCCACACTCTGGCAGAAGATCAAACTGTTCAGCATGGGAATCACCTGGGGTGCGTCTGGGATGAGCAGCTGACCCGAGGCGGTATGTCTGCAGGGGAGGCCAGCCTGGGCCAGCTCCAGGCCTTGTGATGCGCAGCAGGTGGAGGTGCCTCCTGCACGCCCAGGTTTGCCCAGGGGAACCTGCCTGACCTGCATTTCAGACAGGGGCGGTCGCAGGGGCCCTTCCCGGGCCTCACATGACATCACAGACTCCTTCATGTGCCTCCCAAGAAAACTCCAGTGACCACACCAGAAACCACCCACCTTGGCACCACTAGGCCCCAAGATAACAGGGTGGAGTGGTGGCCGCAGCCCTCTGCTCCTCCCACCCTTCAGGAGGGCATGGCACACAGGCCTCGGTCTGCCCATCACCACCCACCACCAGTGAGCAAACCCCACCCTGCTGAAGCTAAGGCCTGGTTTAGGACTTCACATGCCGGCATGAACGTCAGAGGGGCCGGGAACTAAAAAGCACCACAGTGTTAGAAAGAGACGTCTGCAACGAGGCCGGGAGAGGCGGGGAGCTCCAACAAGCTGTGGATGCGCCAGGCAGCCACACGGAGGCCACCACCAGGGTTCCCTGGAGAAGGCATGGTGGCAGCAGGGGCCTCGCACGACAGGCAGGCGAATGTGCTGAGAGACAGCAGCTCAACCACACAGGACAAGGGCCAGGGAGGCTGCCAGCACCGCCCCTCGAGCCCAGGTCTCTGCATGGACACCTCTGATGACCCAGCAGAGGCTTGTGAGGCCCGACTCACAGAGCCTGAGACTCTCCAGGCCTGAGTCCGGCTGTGTGTGAACCGTGACGCTTCCATCAAACCCTGGCCAAGTGCTCCCACCACCAAGAAGAGGACAAAAGGCTTCATTTCACCACGACACAGAGGCTGGGGAAGCCACAGTCCAGAGGCCCTAAAGCAGTGCCAGACAGGTCCCGGCTCAGGAGAAAGGTGCCGGCTGCCCTCAGGTGCTTGCTTGGCAAAAAGAAGAAAGAGCCGAATAAACATTTTTTTCTAGCTTTGAAGAGCCTCAGAAATTTCCAAAAGCCGTACAAGGGCCTTGAGCAGGCAATGCCAGTCCTAGAACCCAGACACAGCACTTTATTCATCTATTTTCAAGGATTTTAAAAACCCAGCCTCTCCGGATATGGCTGCTCTTTTGTTTTTTTGAGATGGAGTCTCGTTCTGTCACCCAGGCCAGAGTGCAATGCCACAGTCTCGTCTCACTGCAACCTCCACCTCCGGGGTTCAAGTGATTCTCCTGCCTCAGCCTCCCGAGTAGCTGAGATTACAGGCTCCTGCCACCACGCCCAGGTAATTTTTGTATTTTCAGTAGAGACTGGGTTTCACCATGTTGGCCAGGCTGGTCCTGACCTCAAGTGACCCACACACCTCAGCCTACCAAAATGCTGGGATTATAGGCATAAGCCACGATGCCCGGCCGGCTGTTTTTTTGTTTTTTGTTTTTTTTTTAAATAAAACTCACCTGTAAAGTCATTTCCTCCCCAGCATTGAGGCCAACGTGCCAGGGCACAAGCCCGCGTGGCCCAGGAGACAGCGGGGGGTGGAACCTGAGGGTAAGGCTGTAGCCTTCTCCCCTCACCCTGCAGGCCCCGGGGCCTGAGAGTCACTGCAGCACCAGACTCGCCCCTTGGGGGCGACGGTGAGCCCCAGGTTTTTCTCAGAAGTCTGCCGGGGGCCTATCCTCACACAGCAGACAGAGCCGTGGGGGGAGACAGGTCTCGATGTCCCTAAACCCACCAGGGCGAGAAGTGAGCCGGGTCCCGCACCCCTAGGCGAGACACGGGCCCCCGTGGTGCCGGCACTTACCAGTGGTGGTGGGTGGTGAGCACTGTGGTCAGTTTCACCCCATGCTTTCTCGCCGCGTCCACGACCTGCAGTGACCCCAGGGCAGGACAAAGGCCCGTCACTCTCCCTGGCCTGGCTTGCCGGCCTACACAGTAGGGTGCCCAGCGGAACCCAGGACATGCCAGGAGGGGCCGCTGACATGGCCCTCTGACCCTGCCGGCTTGCCCTGCTCCAGCAGAGCCAGTGAAAGCACCTTCTCCTGCTCAGCCTGACTCTTGCAACTACCTACGACTGCCCCAAGCCCCTCTAGCTCTGAGGGCACCACCCCCAGAGGCAGCATGCAGGGGCAGAAAGCCTCCAAGAAGAGCCAAGTGCCCGGGATGTTACGGCACAGCGTTTTCTGTGTCACTGCCTCTTGCCTCCACGCTTCGTGGGGCCCTGTAACAGAGTGGCTGGCGACTAATTTCCATTTAGCTTAGGCAAAATTGGAAGGACACTGCGGTTAGGAAACCCATCGGGGGTGAGAACTCCGAGCTGGAGGATGAGGGCAGAGAGCCGGGCACAGTCATGCGCACCTTCTGGGGCTGCACCGGGTCCACGATGGCAGCCTCCTTGGTCTCATCATCGATGACCAGGTACATGTAGTTGTCGGTCAGGGCAGGGAGCACCTCCACCTTCATGGTGCCCTCGTCCACGGTCAGATTCTTCCGCAAATCTGTGTGGTGGAGAACTCCCAGCAGGGCTGGACCTGCAGACACAGAGCACAACTCAGTTGGTGTCCGCGCCAGACCCTCCACCACAGGACGCACAAAATGCAGTGCTTCCCAGCCTTTCTAGGTTCCTTTGAAAGGGAATATCCTGGCCAGGTACAGTGGTTCTTTTTTTTTTTTTTTTTTTTTTGAGACAGAGTCCCGCTCTGTTGCCCAGGCTGGAGTGCAGTGGCGCGGTCTCAGCTCACTGCAAGCTCTGCCTCCCATGTTCACGCCATTCTCCTGCCTCAGCCTCCTGAGTAGCTGGGACTACAGGCGCCCGCCACCTCACCTGGATAATTTTTTGTATTTTTAGCAGAGAGGGGGTTTCACCGTGTTAGCCAGGATGGTCTCGATCTCCTGACCTCATGATCCGCCCACCTCGGCCTCCCAAAGTGCTGCAATTACAGGCGTGAGCCACCGTGCCTGGCCAATACAGTGGTTCTTGCCAGGAATCCCAGCGCTTTAAGAGACTGAGGTGGGAGGACTGCTTGAGGGCAGGAGTTTGAAACCAGCCTGGGCAACACAGGAAGACCTTGTCTCTACAAATTTAAAAATTAGCCAGGCCTGGTGGTGCATGCCTGTAGTCCCAGCTACTCTGGAGGTTTAAGCCCAGGAGTTTGAGGCTGCAGTGACCTATGACTGTGCCACTGCACTCCAGCCTGGGTGACAAGAACTTGTTAATAAAAAAAAGAAAGAAAAAGAAAGAAAAAGAAAAAAAAAAAGAACCAAAAGGAATATCTTCGTATGTCCCTAAGGAAAACATAGGAACTGACTCATGCTCACATTCATGGAAATCAACTGTTTCAGACTTATGATCTCTATTTTCTTTTTTGAGAACTCTAAAAGGACAGGATGGCCAGCTTGTGACTGTGAGACAAACCGCTGCTAGTTCTGGGGTATTCACAGCCCGGACTCGGACAGAACATGAAGAAGGGAACGCAGACTGGGGGTGCCCCAGCCTGGCCATCTGCCCTCCAGCAAGCTGTGTTGCCACCACTGATTAAGCGAGCCTGCGTTCCATGCAGTTACAGCCCTTCTCAGCCTCTACCCAGAAAGAACCAATACTTGACAGCAGGCTGAGGCAGGAGAATCGCTTGAACCTGGGAGGTGGAAGTTGCAGTGAGCCAAGCTTGCCCCACTGTAATCCAGCCTGGGCGACAGAGTGAGACTCTGTCTCAGAAAAAACCAATACTTGCTCTTGAATGGCACGAATGTGAGATGTGCACAAGAATCAGCAGTTCCTTTGAGACGGAAAGCCGGCCACAACTGCGCCAGATTCAAGTGTGGAGGATACAAAACCACCATCCAACTGACCCAAAGGACTCTGCCACAGGGGCCCAGGAGGTAGGAGGAGTGGGTGGCCAAGGGACAAAAGCGTCTACCACCCAGTCAACCAACGCAAAAGTATTTTCAGCAATGAAACTCCTACTAAATCTAAAAATACATGGGGGCCTCGACAATACCTTCAGTTCCGCTCTACAGGGGGAAGAAACCACAGAAGGTGGCAGGGGACAGTGCAATCCTGGGATAGGTGCCAGGGCAGGGGCTTCTCCCAAAAGGGATCCAGAAATGGGCAGCACCCTCCAACTGACAGACACACACGTCTCCAGGGCCCATCTAAATGGGGAATCCGACCTTATTTCCACAGCCAGAGAAACTGCCCAAACTATAGTTTCACTGTACAAAGATAATCTATCACCTGTCTGACAATCAGCCAGGCATTTTCCAGATCATTCTCCTCAGGTACAATATACTGAGATTTCTATATGAGCAGCTTCCTGCAATATTCCCCTTCCCCTTAGCCTCAGTACCACCCCAGCCTAAGGAGCACACCAAGCAGAGTGTGGGTGCTGGGGGCTGTAGGTGGGGTGCAGAAGGGCTACGACAGGATTCCCTGAGTGCCAGGGCATCCTCCTGGAAAGGAGCTCCATTGATACTAGCAGAACATTACAAACAAAAATATTGTCCATGTGCGGTGGCCATGCCTGTCATCCCAGCACTTTGGGAGGCCGAGGCAGGTGGATCACTTGAGGTCAGGAGTTAGAGACCAGCCTGGCCAACATGGTGAAATCCCATCTCTACTCAAATACAAAAATTAGCCGGGCGTGTTGGTGAGTGCCTGTAGTCCCAGCTACTCAGGAGGCTGAGGCAGGAGACTCGCTTGAGCCTGGGAGGCAGAGGTTGCAGTGAGCCAAGATTGGCCACTGCACTGCCTCACAACTGGTGCTCAGCCTCCCATGGGGACCATCACAGCCTCCTAAAGAAGCTGACAACCCATGGAGGTGCCTTTATTTCTGAGGAAAGACGCAGCTGGTGCCAGCACCAGCAGAAACCTTATTCCCTTTCCCTATCACTCAGCCCAACACTGCCTGGAAAATGTTCCCGGCTTGCTGTTTTGTAACTGTAATACTTTGTACAAACAGGCCAAGGACCTGCAGCTTGGAGCCTGGGCCAAGTCCAGAAATGTTTGGTTTGGCTCACAAAAAAAAAAAAAAAAAAAAATTTTTTTTTTTTTTTGAGATATGGTCTCACTCTGTCCCCTAGGCTACAGGGCAGTGGTGCGATCACGGGCCACTGCAGCCTCGACCTCCTGGACTCAAGCGATCCTCCCACCTCAGCCACCAAAGTGACTGAGACTACAGTTGTGTGTCACCACGCCTGGCTGATTTTGTTTAGTTTTTATAGAGATGAGGTCTTAACATGTTGACAGGCTGGTCTGGAACTCCTGGACTCAGGGATCCTCCCGCCTCGGCTTCCCAAAGTGCAGGGATGACAGGCGTGCGTCACTGCACTTCTTTTTTAAATGAGGAAGTTTCACAGCATCTTGCTTCCCTTGAACTGGGCGGCACTAAATACGGCGGCTGGGGGCTCCCTTAGAATGAGGCAGGCACGCCCTGCCGATGCACACAATCCCGCTGGAACTCTCTGCCTGGGCCCTTATGAATGTCCCTAATGTCCCTAAAACTGGAATTCTGAGGACCTCTAAATCCATGTCCGTTCCTTAGCAATGGGGCCATTTTACCCCCTGCAGAGCCTTGACAGCTTTTCGCGAGATCTGGAAACCACCAGGGACGCCTCCCTGCCTGCGCCTCCGCCCGCCCAGTGCCCTGCGCTGCGCACCCGCCCGGGGCGCTGGCCTGGCCGGCCTCGCGACCACCTCGGGCGAATGACACGCCAGGTCCCCAGACAGGGAGGCTCCGGCGCCGGGCGGGCAGCTCCACCACCGCAGGCGGCGCCGCGAGAGCGCGGTCCTTGCAGCCGGGCAGCAGGTGCGGGGTGGGCCAGGCGTCCCGGGGCCTTGCCCGCTGCGCCTCAGAGCCGCGCCCCAGGCGCTCCTCGGCGCCGGCCCGGGCAGGACGCGATGCCCTGGAGGCGTCAGAGGCACGGCCGGCCCAGGCCGTGCGTTGAGGCCGCGGCGGACGCAGGCCTGGCCCTGCTTACCTAGCGCTTTCCGCACCCGCGACCCCGCGCCCGCTCCGCGCCCGCCTCAGCGCCTGCGCCGCCTCCACTCGAGCCGGGCAGCGCGGCCTCAGGCACCTGCGCAACAGAAACCGCGTCAGCGGCCGCCAACCGACGGCCCGGCGCCGCCCGCTGCCCGCCCCGCCAGGCCCGCGTTCCCTGGCCCGCACAGCCCCGTCGCACCCACCCAGGCCTCGGCGGGCGCAGGCAGCTTCCAACGCGGCGAGGCTGCGACGGCCGAGCAGCCCGCGGCCCAGCACCATGACCGGAGCCGGGCTGGACGGCCAGGCGGCTCCGGGCTGCAAAACACCGGCGTCGGCGCGTCTCAGCCAATCAGCGCCCGCCTCGCGCTGCCCTCAGCCAATCAGTATCCGCCTCGCACCGTCCGCCAGCCAATCAACGCGCTCGCGCTCAACTAGTTTCCTCCACGAGCCCCGACTGCCACGGACCGGGAGACTGGCCTGGGAGCGGGGGCGGCGGCCCGAGAGATGCGCCAGGAGAGTTGTGCCGCGAGCCTCCGCCTCTTTTTTGAAACCGCGAAGCGGTTCCCTGGAGGCCAAGCGCCACGCCGCCCGGGCACCCGGCAGCTCGCGAGGTGGAACGAGCCGTCGCTGCGGGGACAGCGTTCCGACGCAGTTGGTCCTCTCCGGGGTGCCGTAGGCATCAGCTGACCGGCCCAGCGCACGTGACTACAGGGGCACTTGATGGGAATCATGGCAGCCTCCCGGCCACTGTCCCGCTTCTGGGAGTGGGGAAAGAACATCGTCTGCGTGGGGAGGAACTACGCGGACCACGTCAAGGAGATGCGCAGCGCGGTGTTGAGCGAGCCCGTGCTGTTCCTGAAGCCCTCCACGGCCTACGCGCCCGAGGGCTCGCCCATCCTCATGCCCGCGTACACTCGCAACCTGCACCACGAGCTGGAGCTGGGCGTGGTGATGGGCAAGCGCTGCCGCGCGGTCCCCGAGGCCGCGGCCATGGACTACGTGGGCGGTTATGCCCTGTGCCTAGATATGACCGCCCGGGACGTGCAGGACGAGTGCAAGAAGAAGGGGCTGCCCTGGACTCTGGCCAAGAGCTTCACGGCGTCCTGCCCGGTCAGCGCGTTTGTGCCCAAGGAGAAGATCCCTGACCCTCACAAGCTGAAGCTCTGGCTCAAGGTCAACGGCGAACTCAGACAGGAGGGTGAGACAGCCTCCATGATTTTTTCCATCCCCTACATCATCAGCTATGTTTCTAAGATCATAACCTTGGAAGAAGGAGATATTATCTTGACTGGGACGCCAAAGGGAGTTGGACCGGTTAAAGAAAACGATGAGATCGAGGCTGGCATACATGGGCTGGTCAGTATGAGATTTAAGGTGGAAAAGCCAGAATATTGAGTTATTTCTTTACAAGTTTCGGGAGAGAAGGGAGCAAGACAAGAGCAAACAACGGCTATTAAATGTCACAATCCTTTAATAAGAAACCATTTATTGGCTGGGCGCGGTGGCTCACGCCTGTAATCCCAGCACTTTGGGAGGCTGGGGCGGGCGGATCTCGAGGTCAGGAGATCGAGACCATCCTGGCTGACACAGTGAAACCCCGTCTCTACTAAAAATACAAAAAATTAGCCGGGCGTGGTGGCGGGCGCCTGTAGTCCCAGCTACTCGGGAGGCTGAGGCAGGAGAATGGCGTGAACCCGGGAGGCGGAGCTTGCAGTGAGCCGAGATCACACCACTGCACTCCAGCCTGGACAACAGAGCGAGACTCCGTCTCAAAAATAAAAAAAAGAAACCATTTATTTTAAAAACGATTAGATTGCTATGCCTCAACTCATATAAGATGGACTCTTCAAGAAAACGTGAAGTAGAACGGATGGGCCAGAAATGAAAACAGCCAAAGTAAAGTATTTCTTCAGAAAACATTTTATCAAACCAAATGTTAAGAGTTTCCTTTTGTAAACCTGGATTGGAGAAGACTTTTCAGTGGGTTATCTCTAGTAGATCAAGACTTAAAAGCTGCCGAGAAGGCCGGGCGCGGTGGCTCAAGCCTGTAATCCCAGCACTTTGGGAGGCCGAGACGGGCGGATCACGAGGTCAGGAGATCGAGACCATCCTGGCTAACACAGTGAAACCCCGCCTCTACTAAAAAATACAAAAAAAATAGCCGGGCGAGGTGGCGGGCGCCTGTAGTCCCAGCTACTCGGGAGGCTGAGGCAGGAGAATGGCGTGAACCCGGGAGGCGGAGCTTGCAGTGAGCTGAGATCCGGCCACTGCACTCCAGCCTGGGCGACAGAGCCACACTCCGTCTCAAAAAAAAAAAAAAAAAAAAAAAAAGCTGCCGAGAAAACTGAAGATTATGTTCCAGATAACTTTCCATTGTTTACTAAATTTTCTTGGACTTGGTCATCATCAGGAAGCATTTGTAAAAACAATAATTTCCAAATTACTGGCCCATCCCAGACTGGCTGAATCCATTTGATAGGATTAATCTCCAGTGAAGCTGTGTTTACAGAGCTTTCCAAGTGATTCTTATCAGGAAATGTGAAAAACACTCCTGCATGTCATCAGTTAATTTAAAATTTTTCTTAATAAGCAAACAATTAATGAAAATTTCACCTGTTTACTTAGGGTATCTACCCAGACCCATCGATTCTGAGTTCGAGGGATGATTTTGAAATTACTGCTTTCCAAATAAAGGTGCTCCCTTGTATGTGGCTTTACTAATTTATTTCCCCCCAGTAGTGACGAGGAGGGATATTTCCTCCTTGTGGGGCTTTAGACCTTAGTCTTTGACCTTTAGCCTTCTGAGCACTGTGCTCTATTAACAGAGTTAATCAGCAACTGTACTTCCCAACCGGAGATAAGGAGGCTTTCTGGAAGTTGAATAGCCTGGGACTGCTGCTTTTGTTCTTGCCTGCACCTTTCTCCGAAAAAAAAGTCTAGGCAAGATGCACAGCATAGCTATCACTGCCTGGAGGAGTCCTCTGGGCTTCGGCAGGGGTTCCTGTTAGTGTACACATCATCTGCTGGCCCCTTGAAGAAAGCCTAGGACATCTAATTTAGTAATAATGGTCACCATTTATTGAAGACAATACTGTTAGGCAGCATGTCAAGCAGTTTATTCTGTATTTCCATGTGTTATGTAACCCTCAACCAAGCCATAGGTTAGTATTATCACTACCATCTTCATTACTCAAAGGAAGACAGATCTAGAGGCTAGGAAGGCTGGCTAAAGTCACTCAGCTTAGTGGCAGAGCCAAGATGTAACCCACTCTCCCAAGACCAGAACCTGAAGTTTTGACCACAATGTGGGCTGCATCCTGTAAGCAGGTACATAAGAAGAATCAGGCCGGGCGCGGTGGCTCAAGCCTGTAATCCCAGCACTTTGGGAGGCCAAGACGGGCGGATCACAAGGTCAGGAGATCGAGACCATCCTGGCTAACACGGTGAAACCCCGTCTCTACTACAAAACACAAAAAACTAGCCGAGCGAGGTGGCGGACGCCTGTAGTCCCAGCTACTTGGGAGGCTGAGGTACGAGAATGGCGTAAACCCGGGAGGCGGAGCTTGCAGTGAGCTGAGATCTGGCCACTGCACTCCAGCCTGGGTAACAGAGCGAGACTCCGTCTCAAAAAATACTGGGAGGTTGAGGCAACGAATGCAGGGAGGCGGAGCAGTGAGCTGAGATCTGCCATCTGCACCTGTGCCTGGGCAGAGCGGATCACTAAAAAAAAAAAAAAAAAAAAAGAATCAGACATTTGGGTATACAAACTCCATGCTTATAGTACAACTAGTATGAGGAATTGCCATCATTTGATTTCTTTATTAAATATGCTATCTTAACTACTTTTTTTTTTTTTTTTTTTTTTTTTTGAGACAGAGTCTCGCTCTGTTGCCCAGGCTGAGTGCAGTGGCCGGATCTCAGCTCACTGCAAGCTCCGCCTCCCGGGCCTACCCCATTCCCCTCTGCCTCAGCTCCTGCTGCTGGCTGCCGGGACTACAGGCACCCGCCACTCCTCGTCTGCTAGTTTTTGTATTTTTTAGTAGAGACGGTTTCACCCGTATGGCCAGGATGGTCTCCGATCTCTGACCTCATGATCCGCCCATCTCGGCCTCCCAAAGTGCTGGGATTACAGGCTTGAGCCACCGCGCCCGGCCCTTAACTACTTTTAGTATTATTTTTTTCATTGCTTGGCAATGCATGTAATTAGAGAAGAGTCAGAAAATAGAGATTAGCAATTAGAACAAAACACCAAAAATTTCATCTACCCAGGGACAGCCGAAGTTAAGCATTTAGTCCAAGTTCTTCCAAATCTGTGGATATAATTGTAATGTTTTAAATAGAGTTTGCTCATACCATACAATTTTCTTCTTTTTTCGCTTTTTTTCTTTTCTTTTTTTTCTTTCTTTTATTTTTGAGATGGTGTTTAACTCGTTGCCCAGGCTGGAGTGCAGTGGCGTGATCTTGGCTCACTGCAACCTCTGCCTCCTGGGTTCAAGTGATTCTCCTGCCTCAGCCTCTTGAGTAGCTGGGATTACAGGCATGTGCCACCACACCCGGCTAATTTTGTATTTTTAGTAGAGACAGGGTTTCACCATGTTGATCAGGCTGGTGTCGAACTCCTGACCTCAAGTGATCTACCCATCTTGGCCTCCCAAAGTGCTGGGATTACAGGCGTGAGACACCGCGCCCGGCTATACCATAAAATTTTTTAACTTGCTTATTTCACTGTATTTTGTGACCATCTTTTTCCTTGTTACTGACACATTTCTGCAGTACAATTTTCATGGATTGCATAAGATTCTGAAGTCAAGCCTCCATTTTTGGACCTTGAGATTGTCTGTAATGATTTGCTAGTATCAGCACATGTGCTGTTTTTTCCTTTGGCTAGGTTCCCATAAGTGGAAGAGCTGGATCAAAGGGTGTGCTTATGCTGAAAGTGTATTATTTGTCTAGCTACCAGGTACAAGGTTCAGCTGAGATACATCTACCAAGTTGACAGACTATTAAAGTCAAAGGCATAAAGCAGAAGCATTGCTCACATGCAACCCTAGCAGGTGGCACAAGCCAGCACTGAGTACGGTACCCCCAGGGTCAGTGTTCACCACAGTGGTAGAACAAGCTTTGTCACAAACATCGACATCAGCATTGCAGGTGTAGGCACACGAAGTCCTTAGGTGCAAGAATCAAAAACTGAGACACCAAGTCCGACAATTCCTGATAATGCTAAAATCATAGTCATCCTAGCATTCAGAAGATAACGTTTTTCCACATTTTGAATACATTTAAACCTATGAAAAAGTTGAAAAACTAATACAATGAACTCCATATGCCCTTTAATAGATACAACAATTACCAGCATTCACTATGTTTGTCCTCTGGTCCTGTGTCTCGCCTTTCCTCCCACCCCCCCATATATGTATATATATACATACACGCACCTCTCTCTATATGTGTGTGTATATATATATGCACGCACGCGCACACACACACACACACCCTTATTTTGAAAATGCATCAGGATGGTGACTGCAGAAAGACTCTGCCCTTTCAGCATACATCTCCTAAGAATCAGGATATTCTCCTACATGGAAATGTGAGACCATTATCACACTTCACAATATATTAGTCTGTACAGAATATATGGCTTGACATCTGTTCTTCTGTTGTGTTTTTAAAACATGTTCATTGGACTTTTATAAAAAATGAGTATTACACATCCGCTTAATATATTATGAACATATTTCCAGGTCAGTGAATATAAGTACAGGTACCCCTTTTTAATGACTGTATCTTAGATCACGTACCCCAGAAGCACAGCCTAAGATGGAGATTCTTGCTCCCATGATTTGCTGAAGGAGTGCTCTCAGAAGTGTAATGAAGCAGAAAGGACAGGGAGTAAACTCCAAGGAAGAAAGTGGTCTGGGCTGGATACCAGCTTCAGTCAGCTGGTGAACCCAAGGGGAAGTTCTGAAGCCAGGAGTCTGTTGGCACCAGTATCTGCTCTCCCCACCCCTTCCATAGCTTCCTCAGGTAATTTTCTGATCCTCATAGAAGCTGAGGGACTTCAGCAAGTGAAGAGATTCTGGGTGGGACATCCCCGACAGGCTGCACACCTTTCCGATGCTCTGCTATTAGAAACAATGATGCAAGCAGCATCCTCCATTTACTTTTTTTTTTTTTTTTTTTTGAGACGGAGTCTCACTCTGTCGCCCAGGCTGGAGTGCAGTGGCACAATCTCAGCTCACTGCAAGCTCCGCCTCCCAGGTTCATGCCATTCTCCTGCCTCAGCCTCCCGAGTAGCTGGGACTACAGGTGCCCGCCACCTCGCCCGGCTGATTTTTTGTATTTTTAGTAGACAGGGGGTTTCACCGTGTTAGCCAGGATGGTCTTGATCTCCTGACCTCGTGATCTGCCCGCCTCGGCCTCCCAAAGTGCTGGGATTACAGGCGTGAACCACTGCGCCCAGCCTCAGTTGTTTTTTTCTTAAACAAGACTATTATTGGGCGCATCTTTGGTGTAAATGTTGGTATAGTATCTGTTTTCAAGATAGTTTTATATTACCTTTCAAATATGCTAAAACCTTCATATATTTTCCTCTTTTTCTTAAAAATATAAGTGTCGGCTGGGCACAGTGGCTCACACCTGTAAACCCAGCACTTTGGGAGGCTGAGGCAGGTGGATCACTTGAGCCCAGGAATTCAAGACCAGCCTGGGCAAAATGGCAAGATCCCTGTCTCTACAAAATGTTTTAAAATTAACCAAGTAAGGTGGCATCT